TACTAAGCCTACTGCCAGTTTTATAACCCACTGTTTAGACAAGACAGAGCAGCTGTTGACCAAAACCTTTGGCAATGTGTGTCCAACCCCAGAAGAGAATAGTTGTGACATATTTTACAGCTGAATTATCTTGGTAGCTTCAATTTCTTGCAATATATAAAAGCTAACATTACCAAGAGTCTGAAATGTCTTGCTAGTAATTCTAAACCTGTCTTCACACATTGCTCATATTCTTCATCACTAAATCCCATGCCTCTTTAAGTATGCACTAGGAATGTCTTCTAATATCCGACCCAAATAGCAGCACTTATGTCCTCCAGATACTTGCCCAGCAAAGCAAAATAAAACCATGTTTTTGTTACTGTCTTCAGTGTTTGTTAGTAAGTAAATCTTCTAAGTAAATCTAAGTAAATCTTGAGTTAAACTGGTCATGAAAACATAATCATAGCCCACTAATAGGTTACAACGAAGAAATATATCCTCTGTTCTAGTAATGAGTGCTCATATGCATGCCACAGAATGTAAATGTTTACATCTAAGCCCTCACAGATATGGAAAGCCTCACTTTTTGCATTAGTACATGTATGACCCTCATCAGTCCCTTTGCGTTTAATCTCAGAGCTCCATGAGTAATCACCTTATAGCTATCATACACTGCATCATGAAAAGTTGTGAAAGTTTTACAAAGTGTGAGAAATTTTTCCCCTTCAAGTACAATTTTTGGTGTCATATATTTTATGATTCTAGTACTACCTTGAAGGTGCTTTTTTTCAAAAGTCAGTTAATCTTTATTATGGGACAGACACTGTAATTATTAGTCTAAAAAAATTTAATCATTTTATGATTTTGCCCATCTCAGTTGTTTTTTATCAGAGGAAACACAATGCCCCTGCTAGACACCTGAGAGACTTGACAGTTTACAGTTATGGTATTTCCTCTGTAATATCAGGAATAAGAAATGATCTTTGTGAATAGTTAATATTTAACAATCTTTTACAACTTCTATTGCTGCATAATTTGTCTGTAAAATTACCGGAAAGCATGTCTACATCTCCATCCCCACATGCCCATTTAAGTCATAACTTATCCAGCGGTACAGAATACTTCATTTATTACCTTAATGATATATCTGACCTAAACATTTTTTTCCCTGCAGTTTTTAGAGAATTTGCAATTTGGTTCATGAACAGGCATAGCCTCATCATCAGTAGGGGAGTGTGGAGAACAGATCTCTTACCCTTTTTCCTCAACAGCACAAAACATTATAAAATATTTATGTCACATGTTGTAGATGGAAGCGTGAGTTGGTAGATGAGGAAAAGACCCAGGCTCTGCATAGGGCTGTGGGTCTTTGTCTCCCCGAAGCAGCAGGACTGCCAAGTCAGAGAAAACTTGCAGCATAGTACTGTATGGATAATGCATGAGTGCTTAGGGGCAGACGGTGGGAGAAAGGAGCACAGACGAAGGCAGAACCCACAGTCTATTCAGACCAGAAAAATTTGTATTTGCTTGAACCACAATTCATATCAACTACAGAGAATGTCTAGGTGTCATCCCTACACCGTCTTCCCCTGGAAACCCAGGGTATTTGGCGCACAGACTATACTGCATTGCTGCAGTTTCCTGTCACCTCCAGCTCTTGCTTCCAGTGATGCAGAAATTTTTAGGCCCCATTTAAGGGGACAAACAGCTACAGTCAATAACTGCTTTTAAATTACTTTGTCTTACCTGCAGGCTTTCTTAGTGCCTCACTTCCACTCTCCCCGTGCAACAGCATATCTTAATTTTCCTTATTTCAGCCACAAGCTCAGCAATGCCAATTTTCTTCCTCTGCACTTGCAGGACGGAGGCAGGACCACCACAGGAGCACTAAGAACACAGGAGAGACTGTCTCTGTTTGCAATTTTGCAGCGGCCTGCAAGCAACTCCGAGGAGATAGTGCAGATAAAATAATAATCTGCACAGCTGGACTGGCTCTAGCCTCTGCAGCTACAGACTTTTTTGGCTCATAGAGACTCTATTGGCTAAACCTCACCAAGTCTCTGATGAGTGCAGACTACCCCAGAGGATTTTCATCAGGTCCACCTGGAATACCCCAAGCTGCTCCAGAACAGAGGGTACTAGAGAGGCATACGGGGCAAAACACGATTATCGTTCTGTGAAACTTATGTGCAAATTTCGCTGTAACATCTGGGACACAATTTGTTGTCACAAGGGAAGTTTGATCATGTGGTAAATAACTACAAGAAGAGCTGTAAATACAGAGTTAAGGCTTTGAGTAAAGATTTCTCTCAGCTGCAGGCAAGAAGCTACAGTCTGGGCTTCCCCTGGCTAAAACTTTATAGTGAGTTAGATTTGAGTATTAGTAGGTATCAGCAAAGTTAAGAAAATCTGGTGAGGTTATCCCATTCCTTTTTGCTAATAGAAGAAAATAATGGAAGAATACCTCAGGCTGCATTAGCCCAACACTTCTAACTGCCAGTTGCATCAAAGGGAAGCACACCAATCTCTCAGACACCTGTAAGACAAAAAAACATCTTTAAGTTTACCAATCCATTTATTTAGTTTATTTCGCAAGCTGTGGTCAGCTTTCAAATCATGTTCCATTTAAAGAAATATTTACATCAACTCTCTGCATCTTAAGAATTAAAATGAACATTGGTTGGTAGCACAAGTAATTTTGCCAAGAGTATATTGGATTAATACAATCCATGTTTTCACCTCTGTTCCCATCTTTCTACATATTTTGAAAGGGCAGACATCTCAGAAAAGTAGCTCCTACCTTGCTAAACCATCCTGCTGTGAAGAATACGGGTATTTGAGTAAGGAGAACACATAGAAACATTAAAGAATCCAACCCAAAACCTCTAACAATATGCAGTCATGCAATCAGTTTAATTTCTGACACATTTCAGTTACAGCCCTATCCTTGGCTTAAGTCCCATGTTTTTGTCACGTAGAAGAACTTAACATGAAGACTGCCAAGCTGGAAGCCTCACAACAAAATTAATCTCCAATACAAATACCCTTTGGTCAAGAGAAGACAGAAATATTGCAGACTGTCTGTTGAAAACCTTTGATCAAGCCCAAGGCCCAGCAACCTATCTTGAAACATAAAGAGTAATCTGCTGAATTTCCTGCTGCAGGGAAGCTGAAGTTGGCTTCCTGACTTGGAACTGCATCCTCAGACGACAGACCTCCTGGTCTGCAAAAGTTGCTCCAAACGAACTCTGGATGCATGGTTGTGGCATTCCCTCTGATCTGGGCTCTGTACAGCACCAAGTATCTCTGCTGTCACGAAATACCTGCCTGCAGTTTGTGCACACCAGGCAGCTGGCCAGCAGGTGGCTGGGTTGTATCACACATACAGCTCCAGAGAGGTGCAAAGAGCTTGGTACGACTCCAATGCAGACCAGTTTTCTTCCTTTGCCAAAAAATTAAATATTATTTACAAATTGAATTAGGTAGCTGAATGCAAGTTTTAAAAAACTGTCAAATGCGACACTGTAAATGTGAGGCAAAGCACCAGTTATTGTTCAGACAACAAATCAAAAAAACCAAATTATTCAATATTATAAAAAAACCCCCAAACTGTGGTACATAGTCTCCCCAGAGAAGAGTTAGTAACCATAACATCTCAGGAAAGTCAGTAGAGCCACCTCGTTTTATCACGGATGTAGCTTTCTTAGTTGAAGAGCAAAAGATCACAAGATACATAAAGTGTTGATCTGATCACATTTCAGC